GACTTTTTGCCGTATGAATATACGTTGCCTAGGGTCCACCACGTGGTGATGAGTCTATCTTACACTCCATATTCTAAAATATTATTAAAAGGAAACATATTCTCTAATTTTATTTGGCATGACCCTTGAACATTGAAGTAATTGTAACCGCAAGATTCAGTTAGAGGAATTGGTCAATTTTCGTTGTCGATAAAGCCTCCATAGTGTATTAAATTTCGTGAAACTCATATCAGTTTGTACCCTCTTTGGGTCTAACATTGTCTAACATTTCGTTGTTACTCATGAGAATTTAATTTTTTAGTCACTTATTTACTGACATTCAAAGACATCATATCAAGCGCCACATACTTTATTTTAGGGGCAGGATGCAAAAAATAAAATGCAACATGAAATATCCTGCGGCAGTTTCAATTGGTCGATAAACACGGCAAGAGATGTCGAGTTATGAAAGCTGAATGGCGTAATAGGAGATAACTGCCCAGTTAACTAATGCCCTCGTGGTAATTTAAACCAGTCATTTTGTCCAGAATTCATACAAAGTGGTGGAATTCTTTAGCATTCCCCTCCACCCGATCTCTTTTTCATTTATTGACCAGTGAATGAAGATTGTCGAATATTTCACCTTAACCATACACGACGGCTTAAGTATAATATGGAAAACATCTATCTAATTATTTTAATTACATCATACTTTCCCTACCATACACACCAAAAAAGTATTTGACTAACAAAGATTTAATGTAATCTCAAACGATGTCGAAGTAGTTGATGGGAAAAAACTTGCATAGTATGATGACTAGATTTCGAAAGAGAGCAAGTCTTCCTGCATAAGATTGCGGAATATGAAAATAGTTTGACGGACCTATTTTACAAGCCCCAAGGCAATCAACATGAGTCTTAGCTCAGTTGAGGGAGACTCATTGGGACTCATTGGTGATGATTAGTATGCCTTCTCATACTGGTTATGAGACAAAAATATACTGAAAGTACCTCAATCAGAGAAACCAACAATACTGACCTATTTGAAAAGTAGATATGTATTGATGCCCAATATGCAAACCCGTCGGATGTTTCAGAAGAAGCCTACTATCGAAAAATATCAATTTTGTTACTAATATGCCTGCTGATAGAAAATAAACATGGGAGTATTACCGGAGGGCCAATAGAAATGAGGCCCTATGCCCAAAATAGGTATATATACAAGTATTTTATTTCATTTGAAGGTAACAAGTAAAGAACATTAATAATAGCAGCGTACTGATCACTCAATAGTTCACAGCAAGTGCTGAATAATTTTAGCTTGACCTTCGATATTCAACTCCGCACGACTCAAAATTTCGCAACAATTCATTTGGTGTGACTTCCGCAATCGCAGTGGAAATTTTGCTCTTCTGTTCTCCGTGTAGGGTTCAGATCACCCTCACTTTGTATGCTCGCATATGCAACTGCTTCAACGGATTCTCACATGAAGTACTTCGGATCTTTAGTTGGAGGGTAGTTATCAGGTTGATTTTCGTGAACTCCTTAGATGAGTCTCATGAACATGTGGAACATCCTCCAGCAAACAAATCTTATGCATATGGTTACGTTTGCTATTATTGATCGAATCAGCAGCATTATAATGAGGAATCATTTTTTGGACTACGATTTTACCATAATCACCTGTTCCTGGATATTTTAAGATCAGCACCACAAATAAGTTCCAATAACAGTCACTCTTTGTTCGATTGAAAAGGCTGTTCGCAATAGGATATTGGTAAGTGACAATGAAACACTGAGCAATAAGCAGTAAACATATGATGGCCTCGGGACATCGCGTGTCCCCACCCACTCGGCCAAAATATCACTCCCAGTATGATGCAGGACACACTGGACCTCTTCTATTCTGACCACACTCTAACATTACGCACAAGCATTCGCGTGCAATTTATTAGGACAATCAAAACCCTATTTTATGATTAATTACATAGAGATTGCGCGATGGTTCTTGAAGGCTTATTCAATACTCTCTAATCCTTTATCATGCCAATTTTTGCAAAATAGCTGGTTATTCAAACTCGTTGCGTACAAATAACTCAAATCTCTGAGGACATTAATAGTGTTTATTGTTAGTTGGTCTATGCATTTTAAGACTTTTGTGTGGGATGCGTATATGATTCAATGTATTCAAAATTATATTTCGCTGTCCCATTTAATCACATCGAATGGAAGATGTCAGTATCTTCTTCTATTTATAGAAATCCTCTATTTATACATGCATTAAAGTTGATATTTAAACAATTTTATAATGGATATTAACGTACGTCATTCATTCACGAAATAATAAATTAATAATAAATCAATAAATTTAGTTGAGCTAATGCCGTTAAGAATCACGAACCGTTGTAACCAAAATGGGTTTATTGTTCATGAATCTCAACATCTAATGGAATTTTCAAGGCAAAAAGCGTCAGATAAAGGCTCTAATTGATCTCAATGGGTTTAAAAATTTCAACGTTGAAAACACAGTTTTCAAATTTCATCAAGAAGAGCTTCACATGAAATTTTTTGTTGCAATTTACAACTGCGTGTGCCATTCAAACATAATACTACTTCATATGATAGTAGTAGTAGATTTTGTTAAGGTCTAATTGTCATGGAGTGACTTTTAATTTTTCTGAGGATAAACGTGTCTGTTAACAAAAAATGCCACTGAATACTTTTCTCCCAAATCAGGAAAAACTCTCTTACTCATAATCCCATACCACACGTTTAATATCTGAAATTAAAATATACTTACTCCTTTTGAGCACTTAAAGTGAAAAATTATTGTTGGGGGGGGGGCCTTGTTGAGCCCTATTGCTCTCTATTCTAGTCGAAGAGAAAAGTTTCTACTTAGTGAAATTAAGTCATTCTTCTCATAACAAACATATTTGTAAAAAAATGGAGTGCACGATAGAATTACCTCCACATGGTGCACCATGGACAGCGTATATTCTTACGGAAAAATGTCTATTACTCGACATTTGACTTCAATTTATTATTGACTCACTTGCAAGAAGGGGACAACGATTTTGCAATACATGGACCGGCCCATGTCTTTCCACACAATGAAGGCCTTAATTAGGAGAGAATTCAAGACCTCAATGTGCAACGAACTCAAAGCTCGAACAAAGGAGAAACAGTGGACAGTGGCACTCTCCGACATAGCCGACTGGCCAAGAATCGAAGCCGTTGATGAGTTTAGACCACGTACCAGACACGATTGCTTGGCAAAACATCTTCACAGATTGGGAGTATACACTCAACCAACATGCCCCCTATATGACCTACAGGAGTAAATGGAGAAGACCCACCTGATTCGATGTCCAGTCCTAAAGACAACGACGGAAACCCATAGATACTGGGGAGCCAGAAGACAACCAATGAACTGCTATCAATTTACTGCTATATATGTCCTCCCCCTTGTGAAAGCCGAAATCAACTAAGGAACTAATGAAGATATCATAAAGCCAGCCATTTGAAATAATAATAATATTTTACTAATGGCTTAGCTAAGAAAGTTAATGACGCTTACTAAATGAGCCAACATTATATAACAAAATTTTTAAAAAGTTCTTTAATAGTGAAGAACGACCAATACTTAGTACCTGCATGAGGAGACACTTTATTTGCTATAATGGTTTGATAAGTGTTAAGAGCCTCTGGGTAAAGACCTGATTGCTCATAGCGATTGGCGACGTTTAGGAGAACAAAATAAGTGAGATCGAGATTTATTTTGTCCGCGACGTCAAGTTGTTGCCTTTGAAGGATTAGAGCGCGCTCTTTGCGTGACGCCTCTTTGGCTTTTTCCAAGGAATCATTAAAATCACCTTTAGCTCCTGCTTTACAACTCTCCTCTACTAATTGAGTTATCTATAAAGTTCAAAGAAAAAATTCTGAGCAGCTTTTAAATATTAATACTATAGGAGTCCTTTTACCGTCGGTATATGCTTTGTGTTTTACATCGAATATTGCAAGGAATAACAGTCAAAAACGCTAATAAAGAGAATGCTCTATTTCAAAATTCGACGTACTTAGTTTAAAACATTTAAACTGTGTTTAATGTAAAAAATAACATCCAAAAACACATTTCACTGTGCTTTAAATGCAATATTAGTAGCAATATACTATAGGTATGTGTTGGGTTTTTTAATAATAAATCTCTTAACGAAAAACTAACCATTATTACTACTAGTAGACCTATGTAAAGACGTAACTGTGCGTATTCAGATTGGAATTGTTTAGGAACAGCAATTTAGCAAAAATAAGTAATAGAATATTATGATATAATTTGACTGTCGAAAAACCACACTGTAACTTCTTTATATGTCTGAGGAAATTATCAATACTTGTAAAATGTTGAACAGGTTGTTTGAGAAGTAAAAAGCTAAAAAATTCCTATGCTAAATAATTAGAGTTAAAATATGACCATGGAATTCAAAAGCTATAATCTCTCAGTCATGCGTTCTTTTAAGAAAATAAAGAAAATATTAAAAAGCTGGTGCCCAAAAATACCTTCTTCTCGATCTCTTTCATTTTCATTTCAGGAGAACCATCCAGTTCAGGCTGTAATTTTGGAGAAGATGGTTCAACTAATTCATTTTTACTAAAGGAACCAGCAGTAGAAGGAATATCCGCTGTGACCTCGCCAAACGCTGTACAATTTCTATGATTACGTGAAAATCCTGCAGCTCTTATAGATGTCAAGGAACGACCTCCAATTCGAAGTGCTTGATCACTTATTACATCCATTCCTGTGCTCATTCGACTCGAAGGAAGAGCACGAGACTAATAATAAATGTATTATTTTACACACAGTTTTCTAACCTCAAACAACAGCAATCAAAAACTAATCGTATATTCATAGAAAGTATATCAATTTTAAATCATACCGTTGACCATCTACCAATATTAGCAGATTTGAGAGCCGATTGTACATTTCTATTCTTAAAAACTGTGTCAAGATCAAAAAATGATGTATCTGTATCATGAAATTCATAGATGTCGTCGGATATAGGCATATTTGCCTATCCTAACAACCTTTTGAAAATCGAACGAAAATTTTAAGCGTGCTTACGATTACATTGAATAATTAAAAAAAGACATTTCAAGGCTGTGATGTGAAAAATGATTTTACTTTTAAGGAAAAATATATATAGTTATTAATGAATTAAAAGCATAATTTTATTTTTACGAATAATTAAAAATTATTTACCGTAAAATTAATATACATTATTTTGAATTTAATAAATTAAAATATTTTTGTTCAGTTATACACAACATTTGAGAAGCTCTATGTATAACATTTTCTTCTCTAAATTTCCAATGTTGGTAAGTATTGATTTGTATTTAACAAGTTAAAACTGTGTTGTATGTGTTTTTTAAATATCTATCTTTTAGATTTAAAAAATTTTTGACTTAGATGTTAGCATTGTCTTCTATTCATTCAATATGTTAGTGTTATAAATTAGACACCCTTAACTTCTTCAGTTAAGTATTTATTGCTTTTAGCTTTATTAAAATTTCACTTATTAGTCTTAATCGGTATATGTATAACCTTAACTTAGCTCTGTATTCCTTAAAGTGCATAATTAGATTAATTAGTAGTACTTTAATCACGTCAAGGTATAAAGGATTTTACAAGCGTAGAACAGGTAGACCAGGCTTCAGATTCTCCATGATCGGGAGTGCTACCTCGAAAGGAACCTCCATCGGTTATAAAGTCATTGCTGTTCCTTGCTCTGCGGAAAAATAATCACTTTTAACCTAATATGAAACTTTGTGCATTAGCAGTTTTCATCTGTCTGGTCTTGGTTGTAAATGATGCTGGTGAATTAGAGTGGCGTAATCAAGCATTTCAGAAAACTGAATTGAGCAAAAGTACTAAATATGTCATTTATGATAATGAAACATTAAAACACTAGAGCATTATACAAGTTATATAATAAAGACAAAATAAATAATCGGAAATTGAATCAAATTTCTCTCTGGCAGATATTCTTAACATTTTCTCCTCAATTCAAAAATATTTATTGCAGTAGAAGAATGAGTTGAAAATAAATTTTTGAAAACCTACTTTTTGGCTGAAGTCTAGAAAGAATGAGTGATATTGCAATATGTCAATGTTTGTTGGTAAAACGTATGCGATAGGAAAAGTCTAAGGATTTCAGGGTACTTCTGGAAGTTTTCAAAATAACAACGAAATCCATTGAAAACCCGATTTTTCTATCATTTTTAATGACTAGTTGCTAATTTTTTAGTTCGGTATTCCAGATCCGGCATCAACTGTCTTGAACTCTGGAAATGCTGCTTAAGTCCCAATGAAAGTACGAATGATTTATGCTCCACAGGCTAATTGTTATAAGCAATTAGCTCTCATTAACTTCTTATGTATCGTTACTACTAGTTGCCCAACATTGTTATAACTTTTGCTTAGTTATTTATGTGTATTACAAGATGGAAAACGATGACGTTTATTGAGTTTTGCATGTTATGAAGGTCTGATGCACTGTTGGTTGTGACTGATTTTAATTTTATGAAAACTTGAATGGTACTTTAACGTTTTGTCAATGAAATTACATTCTACTTAGCTCAAAATTAGCTGATTATTTAAAAAATTGCTGAAGCGTTTTAGTACTAACACACATTCTATATTAATAAAGACCCATTTCATGAAGAAAAGTTTTATTTGATTGGTACTCTACGATCAAGCCACATAAAATTGGATAAAATGATCATCTAGACCAACTGTCAAGACAGAAAATTAGCATACTGAATAGGAACACATAAAACTCGGAGATAACCTGATGAATGACAAAGTTATTCCGGGACAAGGCATTGGATTTGTGATCTTGAGCCGGAATTCTATCCTACTTGATAATGCATTAGTGTCCGAATTTATTGTGGCTCATAAGAGTTCGGTCATATTGAGGCTAAAAGACTAACAGTGAGTGGCAGTTAATCAATTGTTATATGTCCGTTAATAAAATCTCCGAATGAAGTTGAATGTAGGATGCTGGTACGAAAAGTGTCGGAATGTGTTGTTGTGAAGTAAGCAAAAATTGGACGAAATCATTGCGCTTTATTTAACGACACGGGGAAAATCTCCCCGATTTAGACAACAGTCTGACACATGCAAATGGTCCAATGAAGCTTGCGTGTTTTCTGCTTTACTTGGTATAGTCCATGAAAGGACGCTTTTCACTCGCGCTCTTTCTTGATGTATAAATTTGATTGAATGTAGTTCCAGCTTATTTTCTTCTGATGCAATAGCTTTATAATTTACTTCCATAAATTCATTTCTGCTCATGTCGTCAGAGACGACTTAATAGCATAAATAGCGTCAAAATAGATAAACACCGTTTGCCTTTAGAAGAATGCCAAGTTGTTTGAGGGGTATTTTATACATCATTTAATGACAGCCTAGATAGATATTTATGGGCTTTGATTTTATGATAGAGGAGGTTAAGATCACCGACACATTTCGGTAAATTAATAGAAGCTATAAAAATGTAATTTCGTATACATTTATTATAGCACAAGACGTTAAAGGCATTATACCTGGGTGCTGAGCAGTAGTTGTATTGGACAATTTTTCATTCACTCAGTTTTAATTCAGACTTCTATGGTGTTTCTCAAGACTTCCAAAGCCCTTCCTAACCACAGCCAGTCAAAACAATTTCATCATCATCGTCAGCATCAGCATCAGAAATACCTGAATTGTGTCGTCATAAAATTTCCTCCGATTCGATAAAATAATCACTTAGATTCGACAAAAAATAATAGTTAATGGCTAGAAAGTCTGACTTAACATAGAGGGAGCATATGTATGTTTGTGATTAACTAACAAAATGGATAGTATAGAGGAAAGGAGGTTTAAGGGTAAGCTCGTGTTCGTTCGTGGTTGGAGTACCAATAGCGCTAAATATTCTTCTGTTTACGAGTGGAAGCGATTGAAACAAGCTATTGAGAACTTTAAATTACATATTCCATGAACCAGCTCATTCTCACCCTCAACCAATTATACCCATTTACATATTCACCCCAACGCCTCATGCCAAAATACATAGCAGGTTTTATAAATAAACCCACACACCCACACACGCCAATTTGAAAAGATGAATACTATTTTAATTTCAACTAAGCATTTTATTACAAAAAATAATAATTTGATTAATTAATCATTTATAATAAAGAACTAACTTCTCCATTCCAATTCAATTATTTGACCCTTAAAATATTTGTTTTTTGCGCTGTCAGACAAAACGCAATTGCTGAATTGCCTCATGACACCGGACTAAAACAAAAGTCCGTTCTTAATGGCAGCCGATTTGTTAAATTTTGGTGTAGATGAACGCATTTAATTCCATGTGAATGCAATTAGCTTCTTACTGAGAAATGTTTTACCAAATTAACTGAAAGCAATTTTCACTTAGTCAAAAGAAGTAGTAGTTTCTTTTTCGCTTTATGAAACCACTTTGCTGCCTTCAAACTAACAAAAGTTTGCTGGTAAAAGATCCATTTCCATTCTCTCATTTTTTTCTCCCCTACATGTACAGCCTTGACAGTTGATGTTAAGCATGTTTTATGGGTAATTTCATGCTAATTTTGATGCATTAGCATTTGTCACACCATTTTCTCGCTTAACCAAGGTGTCGGATTTCAATTTTCATCCTCAAAATGTTGAAGTAACGTCTATTTCAATTTACCTTTAATGACAATGGACAGTGAATTGAACAGTATTTTATTAATATTTCTAACTTTTCAAAATAAGTATTACAGTGAATGAAATAATTCTAATTGGTATTCCCGTGAGAGATTAGGAACGCCGATGTTAACCGTTTGAAAAATTGTTGAAAGACACAACGTTCCACGTGATAGACTTACCAAATAGGTTAAATGTTTGAAATGACGGAGGGTAAATCGTTATAAGTAATCCATTTACTCAAATAGTTCCCTTAAGCTTTAGTCAAAATATTTAATTCAAACGGCGGGCTTTATGACACTTATCATTGGCCCCTTAGCTGACTTCGGGCTTCACAGAGGGGAGGAACATCAAAAGTGGCTTCACAGAGGGGAGGAACATCAAAGTGAGAAAAAGTGGATAGGAGGAACAGAAGAGTGATTCAAAGATGTTAAAGAGACAGACAAACAGACACGAAGGCAGAGAAAAGGTAAGATTAGTACGGTGGAAGTTGTCGAAATGACATACAGTGGGGTCATGGGAATTTGAAGTCAGAAGTCAGTTGCCGGTTAATAGACTGCTTTGCCATATGAGTATACGTTGCCCAGGGTACACCACGTGGAGGTAAGTCTATCGCACCCCTTAGTCAAAATATAATTGCAGACATTTTGCTACCTCGTTGCCTTCCTCAAACTTTGCTCCTCCCATGTTCTCAGTGTAGGGAGTCCAGGCTACAGAGGAAGCAGGCTATGACTTAATTCTCCGTTTTCTGATTTGGAAAAAGCTGCTATTTTCTATTAGCCTGTAATTTCGCAATGGGGTTTACCTCTTCTTTATTCTTTACATCTTCTGCAATTTTGATTGCCCTAGATTATTGTGCACAGCTCTTCAAAGGTCAAAATTCAAGTAATAGCCTCTTGCATATTTTGATAGCTCTTGAGTGAAGTGAGAAGTAGACATTTAAAAGTCATCTTCAGAGAGGGTGAAAAAGAGAGAGAGTGAAACTGGAGACGAGTTGAAAAAAAAGTGAGAAAACGAAGAGTTATTTTAAATATCTTAGCCCCCCTTCATTCGCTCCTTAGCAGATGAAAACTATCTTTGCTTTCTAGTAAATAAGCTTCCTTTTATTTCCACTCTATTCCCTGGGCGTTGAGGAGGGGAGGGGGGCGGATGGGTGATTACCTAACCATTAACTTACTACTCTTTATCCAAGTAGGGATTTAAAACATAATCTTATAACATTTCAGGTATGTAATTAATGCTAGAGTATAAATCAATACAATTGCATAAATAGTTACTACGATGAAATTATGTCAATTTAAATAAATTAAATTGATT